TAAGAAATACAAGAGCAAAAGTACTAATAGTGGAATTATGCATAAAATAATGATCGCATATCGGTTGAGCTGTATGAAGAACGCTAGAGCTGTAATAACGGCGAGTGAGTGGTTCGCGACAGCCGCGTCGGTACCAGTATCGGTTACCCAAAATCGTTCCTAACGCCCGTCTCCCGTGCTCATACACAGGGGCTCTATGGAAGCTTCCAGGGAATCGAACTAGCAATCTGGTTGATTGTAGAGTTTTTAACAGACACATTCTATACAACCTATTACAAATGGAAAGCCAACGAATCTCTAGCAAACATGCTTCGATAATGGAGCAAACCTTGCAGTTTGGTTTACTACAAATAACGAAAGTGATAGATTAGAATAGCGCATATGTTTATATATTATATCATCATGTGATCAAATGAGCAAGGAGGACATTTCCGGATATATTAAAATTAATTATCAAAATTTCAGAAACCATTTCTATCGTGTGGACTGTACCTTGAAAGCAAACGTTTTCAAGAGAAATTGAAAAGCTTGCCTACCACTTCTGTAAGAATGCCGAGCACTATTGTCATATGAATGATGACTGGATTGCCAGTGTCGGCGTTTGGTCTGACTCTTTTATCATATCGAATCATGATGTTATCAAGGATATTCGTGGGATCGGCTGAAAACGAACTTTTTAGGTTTGTTTGAAAGGCTACGCGACAATTAATAGTTCTTCCTCACTTGAATGGACTCCCGAACACTAGCCTCAGTACGTATATTATCCGCAAAAATCCAGTTTATAACTGTTTGTTTCATGCCTTATCTCCCAATTATTTCTTGTAGGTGTGGGCGATAGGTCGATTTTCCATATGGCTCAATTGAACAGTGAGACAAGATACAACTCTTCAGAGCCATTTCGGAATGCTTGCCCCATGTTACACTTCGAATAATCATTTCATCATTACGTGGTCTCTTTGTCTAAAACCTTGAGTGAGCTTCCTTGAAAATGTTAACTTTTTACAAGTGCCCACTGAACTTTGAACTAAGCGGAAAGGCAATCAAGCTCCATTTCAATCAGAGCTGCCAGAATGCTCTGATTGTGAGAATAAAAAGTTACTGACATTTCATGTGATGCTTTCTTCCCTGCCTCATGAAGAGAGCAGAATGAGTCGAAAGAGACAGTGTCACAAGGCAAAGCCAGTTCATCGTCGCCCGTAATTTTGGCGAGTGCTCTGAAAGAGTAGGATTGAAAAGAGAAGCTTGTGGACGGTGGTTTGCGATATTTCGAGTTGTCAGTCCAGCCAAGAACAAAATTCAACGGAAAGTAGTTAATATGATATACGTCGCTCTCCTTAAAAATAGGGTGATTCATCAGTAGGTAGAGGCTAGAAAAATTAAGCTCAAATAGCTAAGGTCCATGGTAATCGAACTCGTAAAGAACACTTCGGAACGCGAAAAACAAGGTGCTTCTCGAGGATCTTACCGATGCTTGTTTGTGCATTTGCAAACTTCTTCGGGACACCTTACTCTGTAACCCATGAAAACGCTTGCGTTACTGTGAAGAAAATCAGTCAGAACCTGTTGACTCCAACCTTTTGAAGAATTAATATCCTCTCCATAAAATGTTAGCAACTTGGTGTAGTCATAAACCCGAAATATGGTAGGCCAACCACGACTCGGCTCACACTGGCTTTGAAGGCTTATTTTTAACGATAATCTCTTCCTATAGCACCCTTAAGACTGCAAATATATCTCACGACAGGAGTCTTCCGTTATTCCGTAAGCTCATTGAGCCTATAATGAACTTTTAGACACTTCTTATCCGATACTGTGCAGTCACAGATCTTAATTTCCAAGTTTTGATTGGTTTACATGAAGATTAAGTCTCTTCTAGAGTGGGGTGATGGGGTGACATCCATGATTAGGGAATCCCGGATCGATTCTCGTCCAGGGAAACCACGTATTCTATATCTCCACACTCCGTGAATCGGTATCGGACTTTTTGGTAGGAAGAAAGCCCCGGCTTGCACATCGGCTGACCTCGGCAAGTCATTGCATGGCCACAAACGCATTCATTACGGCGCTACAATTCCGAATGCAAGTCGAATACGGGGCGCATCCCTCGGACGGGATTGATTCACTTCAAGAGCTTCATTCTCTATCCCTTATATAGGAATTCGGTCTTTCTGAAAGGTGTAGTCAATTGGAAATCTGTGTAGCAAATGTATTAAAGGAAGAGACTGCATCGAGTGTGTGGGCAGGCCCTCAAAATAATATGGGGGCGGAAGCCCCACTATTGACCTACGAACGAGGCGAGTATTCTCACACTTGCAGCATTCATTAACGTAGAAAGTTCTATTTCCGGAGAACCATATTCCAAGTTTTATCGTAACATCAGCGTTTGAAATTCGGGTGGTTTTTTATAGCAGGAAAATTTAAAGATAATTAGGCATGCTAGATCTCCATTTTTTTGAAAATAATGTACCGTTTGCCTGTCTTAGGAGACTGTATGAGTGACGAGCTAAATGACCGCAGTACAACTAATTATTTGAATTTTGAAGGGATGAAAAAAACTTTCTTTTATGATTTGAGGGTAATCACAAGTGCGCCCATCCCTTTGCTTTGCTCGTCCTCTAAGAGTCCCGCTTCATACAGGGACCTCTGACTGGCAGGTAGAGATGGTGTTTGGCCCAACGTCGGGGGACTAGGGCGAAAACTTTGAAACAAGAGCCGTAACGTTTTCCTGGGACGCAGATGGGTTCAGAATTTGAGAAATGAACTATCCTTTAACCTCTTTTTTTTTGCATACTTAAGCACGCTAGCGTGGTTGTGGACGTGCCTTTGCATCGTGCACCTTGGCTGAGCCAGTTGCTCTCATGCGAGTGAGTGAAGAGTACAATACATGCGAAGTAGAATGGGATTGCTCTCTTTCAAAGAGGCTTTGCTCACTCCAGTACTGCATGACCAAGTGCCTCAAGTAAGATCATCCCCAGTATGTTTTAAATAGGAGAACCCGATTACCGAATACAGTAATGTAAATAGGCCTCACTCCGATCCTTTCGAAGAGGTTCTAATACGGCATTCGGCGGTGAGGCTTCGAAGAGCTCTCCTGCTACACTCTTTCCGGGGAGACGTATACAGGATGGGCAGGATGAGCACGCAGAAGTTCAAGATGGCGTAGGGAACGCTCGACTCGAAACCCGAAACCGGAGTTCCCCGATACATTTGGATCGAAGAGGAGTTTGAAGCGTAGAATTTCCCTTCGTAGTCAATGAATGAAGAGCAGAAAGGCTGCCGCCTACTAAGAAATTCAAGCTTAGTGTTCTGTTAATGTTTTGCGATAAAGATAGTCAGACCAGGGTGGTTATAACTGGATGAGAGCGATTACTGGCCGAGAAATCAGAACTAGATCTTTTGGGACGTCAAACGAATACGACGAAAGATGGCCACTAACGCCATAGTCAAAGATCCTCACTAAAATTTCCATAAGTGAGCGATTCATTTGGAACAAGTGTTCATTTTGCGAGGACACATCAATAAAACTACCAGTACCCTCTCAAGTAAATCGGTGATGAACGAGTTCATCGGTGGTACAGGGCGATATTGTTTAATCAATGCGATGCAGTTACTTTTTGAGTGTTCTGGGTAGTTGCTACGAGCCCCAGGGAGCTAAACAAGCCGTCACTGGTGCAGTAGAATGAGGCTGAGCGCATGTTCGCCAGCCCAGCTCAAATATTGGCGGCTTTATTCGCAACAATGATCAAAGATATATAAGCTAAAATATATCTTCCCATGAGACATTTCAAAGGACCTCTGAACAATGAGCTTCGCGGGCCCTAGTCTGCTTTCTAATTTTAAGATACCCACCAAAAATATTCGAAAAAAAAGGAAAATAAAGTGCATATTCTCGTTCCTACGCTTTTACGAACATCGGAATGGGTGCTGCGGTTTGAATTTAATTGCTTCTCTTCCCACAAATTCGTAAGGAAACTATCGAAGAGGAAGACTGGGAAGAAGAAACTGATGTCATTTCAGGAGAATATTCTGTTATAAGAGAGATGGAGAAAGTTTGAGGAATTGCATGAAAAATAAGACAATGAGAAATGGTACGAAAGGGAGTGCAGCAATGAGCAAAGGAACAGAAAGTAGTTAATAGTCACTAGTTCACTAATTCCTTTCCAGTTAATTTTAATGAAAAAATTCATGAAAGATTCGGAGTTTTCTCAATCCTTTCGCGGAAATTACGCGGAGGCGTATGCTCTCGATTTAAAATGCGGTCAGCTCATTAAAAGCTTAATAAAAACATTCATAGAAGTTCCAATTTTGGTATCTCGTCGGGAATGAACATTCACATTCATGGAAGTAATTTCTGATAGCGCATTTACCATTTTGCATGGAATGAGGGGAAATTTTGGTCCTCTGAATGAAGAGCCACGCGAGTTTTCCGTCCTGCTTTTCTGCAGACGTCCAAGATAGAAAGGGTATGGCGACCGCGCTTTTACGCTGTCCTTACATTAACCTTTATTTTCTCTTATATCTGTAGTCTCTGTACTTAGAAATGACCGCAATGCTTCAAGATTCTCTAGAAGGGTTTGAGCTCAGCTGATACATGGAAACATGAAAAAATTATAGGAACACCTGATAAATAATATAAATACCCCAGCGAGCCAAAAACGTGCGTCCTGGGGCGCATGGTCGCCAATGTGTTAATAGGTTGACGCATAATTATC